GGGTGGGTGTGCGTGTATTCCCCATGTGGCTTCTACTGCGAAAGACTTGACAGGAGTTTCAACTCTGTGACTGCACTTACCTGCATGCCAAAGAACATTACCAAGGACACAGCCTATCCCATTTCATGCGTATGATGACCGACTGTGTGGATGCAAAGTATGCTCATCAACCAGAGCACGCTTTGGCGCTTATCAGCAAGTGGACAGCCACCATAGCCAATTTTCCAACCACGATTAGCTCGTCCGAAATACAGACCAGCTTTCTAATTGGACAGCCATCATAGCCAAGAATAGCATGCCATGTCACCAGTCCCATAGACTTTAGCAAGTAGCATTGGCTATTCTTTGCATGGTTTATTTTGTTTTGGTGACTATCGCCTAAGGGTCGGGCAACACAGCATGGCTAACGTCTATGATTTATCGAGCCTGCCGCTTCGCTTTATATACCATCGAGTGACCTCGCTATCCTTCTGCCTGCTTCCCTTTTGGAAAAGGCCACACCAAACCAGCACATAGTTCCAACTGCCGCCTCTGCCGCTCATAATCCCCCCTCTAACTCCCAAAACAGAGCACAACTGCATAGCCCAGGACAGCATGCAGCGTTTTGACTGGCCACTGTCACCCTCTATGAATCATCGAGACTGCCCCTCCAGTTCGCAAAACAGCGCACAACTGCATTGCCCAGGACATGGCTCAGTGTGACTGGCCATCATATCCACCCTCTATGAATTATCAAGGCTGCCACTTCAGTTTATGTACCACCAAGTGACCTTGCTACGCTCATAATCCCCCCCACTGAATACGTTCCACATTACCACTCTTTTTCTTCAATCAAGTGTGCCCCTCCCGAGGGCACTTCAGGCCCGTCACCAGACCTCCCAAGCCCGCTGCTACAGGCAGGCCCAACCCTGACCAGTTTGACAAGCTAGGGTCCATGGCAGCAAGAGGCTAAGAGAATAGCTTGCACAAGAGCGATGGTTTTGAGGGCAGTTTTTTCCTTCTCGCCCTTCCCATATTCTGGTTTATTAAACCACCAGTTTGTTGCTTCTATACGGCCACAACTTTTGGGGTTCGGCCGCGCCGGTTCGTTTTTTTTCGGTGCGCAGGGCGTTTCTAGCCCAGGAGAAAAGCGCCTTCCAAGTACCACTGGTGGTTGTTTAACGCACTTTTTTCGAGAAGGAAGCCTGCTATGCATGCAACCAGCAAACACTTACGAGGGGTCAATGGGTGGTGCCCAATTCTGAAAAACAGACAGGTTCTTCGCAGCAAACCAGTCCCCACCTTACACTGTAATCCGAAGCATGCAGTTCGTTCACGTTAACACCTCCATCAACCTCACCTTTCAATGTGAAGTACACACCATTACCACCGCCTTCCACAGTCGCAAAATCTGTGACTTGCAGGGGCATTTGCACATATTATCTCCGACAACTCTTTCACAGCTTCTTGCAGTACGGCTTCCGTTCAGCAAGAGAAAACCGTAGCCTTCCGCTGCCCATTTCCTTGTTGATGCTTTTCTCGTCCCGCCTCAAGCTATCACCTTGGCAGCCTGACTGCCGGGTGCTGCAGGGCATACTGAAAAAACACGCAGATCTTCGACCTCATCTTTGTCAATCTGCTGGGGCATTTGCGCATATGAGGTCTGCCAACTCTTTCACAGCTTCTTGAGGCACGACTTTCAGCAAGAAGAGAGTAGCCTTCAGCTGCCCATTGCCTTCTTGAAGCTTTGAATCTCCCCTCGAGCTATCGCCTTGACTGCCAGATGCCTTCGTAACGCTTCCGATGTCCTGTCATTTGCGTGCACCACAAAGGCGACACGAAAGCATACAGAAGAGCATTTGGTTAGCATGGGTTGTTTCTAAATTCTAAGGGATATAGCGCGTAGGTTGGTAGAACGCTCTTCAGAGGAGGAGGCACCTCGCAATGCAAGCCTGACTCCAGTGGGGACAACGGTCGAATGCCAAAAAAAAATGACTTGCAGCCCCAGCGAGTGCTGGCACTGAGCCCTACTATTTATCTGAGTTTCTCACCACAAATCTAAACCACCCTTGCCTTGCAGTTTTCCCCCGTGTGGGGTCTTCATAGCACCGCTGCAAGGTTCCCATTATCCGAAATTGCTTTTGATTTGATGGGGGGGGGGAGGGGAAGTCAGAAACTGTCCCTCAGGACATCTGTTCAAATTGGAATGATACAGAGAAAGAAGATTAGCACGGCCCCTGCGCAAGAATGACACGGATAAATCGAGAAATGCTCCAAATTTGAGAGTAGTCACACCGACAGTCGGCGCCCCTGGGTCCGCTGCCTGACAAATGGTCCAAATTCAGAGTAGTCATGCCGACGGTTCTAATGCATTTTTGTTCTTTGCCAGGATTTGAACTTGGAGCCAAACAGAGTGAGTACAGTTGCTTTATTAAATTATTATTTCCCTTAACTGTTCGGAAACTGCTGAGTCTTTTGAGCCCGGGGACTGCATGCACTTTCTCTGCTTGCCTAGCATGCATAGTGGTAGGACCCTCTTGGCCGGTAGTTTTACGCTTTTCTTATGGTCAGCTGCCTGAGAAATGGTCCAAATTCGGTTCTAACTTCTAATGCATTTTTTTCAGTTTGTAAGTTTTTGTTCTTTGCCAGGATTTGTTTGAATTCCAACAGAGAGAGTTAAAACTTAAAAGTTAAAACAACTCTGAAAATTTTACCTGGGGCTGGTCAGTTCAAACTTCAAAGATGACATCTCCAGGCCAACACCCATTAACAAAAAATATGAAAACAACGGACGAAAAAAAGAGGAAAAAAGAGAGGTGAAAAACAAAACATTAAAAAAAGGGACACGTGACATGTCATAAACAAAAACGAGTGCTCCCTGCAGGCCGCCCAACCTCCGAGGGGTAGTCAATCTGACTGTGGAGAGTACTGGCACCTTCAGCCCACTTTCATACATAGAGCCAATGGGCAGAGCCCTTTCTCCCTCTGTTCGCAGAGTTTTGCCCGCCAGTGATGAGCAAGCAATCGGACCTATGCCCTCCAGAACCGAATGGGTGTTGGATGTTCAAGAAAAAAAGGAAAACAAAAACACCACTTGCTAAATCGCATTGTCGTCCATCCTTGCATGAGAACTTGGGCTAGAGACGAGGGCAAAAGCAAATGGGAAAAAGGTAGAAATGATATGTGTGTGCAGTACAGGACATACCGCAGCGTTGAATAGCGTCACCACGACGCCTTCCTTTCGCGTTGCAGTTTTGATTCTGGCATAGATCCTTGCATTCAGCAGTAACTTTCCAACCTGCAACACACAAAGAGACAGACAGATCACCCTATGCGGTCATGAAACAGAAACGTCAACACTCCTTTCGCGTCGCAGTTCTGATTTTCACATAGATCCTTTTCCCCTTTCAGCAGTAACTTTCCAATCTGCAACACACGAAGAGACAGCTCACCCTGCCTGCAGTCGTGACACAGAAACTGTAAAACACCCTACACTACATAAACCTAAGGGCCTCGCCACACCACTGTCGAAACAGAAAACAGTACGAGTGCACCTTCCTGCAGACAATGGCAAGATGCATCCACAACTGTGAATAGCAACGGATGCATCGTACCACTTTCTGGGAAAGATCCATTCGTTCTTTTTTTCAGTGGCATGGCAAGGCCCTAAGAATCAGAAGCGGTCGCTGGCAGGTGAAGCATCAACAAGGCGCACGGTAACAAAGAGAGTCCGGGAGTGGGATGAAGGGGAAACTAATGGCATATGAGAAAAAGAACCACCGATGGCCTAACCACCCAAATGACCTCCTCCTTGGCACATTGATGCTATGCCCTGTGAATAACGACCTTGTCCCAGGACGCACCAAACAACACGGATGGCACAGACGACACACGCTGCACATTTGTCATGGTGTGCTCCATCCATCATCAACACATTTGAAACCTCTTTCATATCAAATACCCATCCATTATACCTACCATGTCCATCTCAAGGACATGTGGTTATCGACCAAATTTGTGGAGAAGTGTACACCACCAGCCAGTCAAGAAGTAAGCATTGCGACATTTCAGAACAGCGCAGAAATTGCAGACATCGACAACGGGCACCATGGGACGTTCCCCCCAAAAAACAGCCTGCCCTTGGATTTCAACAGCTTTTTGACAAGATAATTATGACATCGTTTACATGAAAAATTGGAGAACATTGTTCGGTGACCTTCTTTGCGGCTCCTTCATGCTTTTCATCATCGCGGGGTTCTTGCAATGGCCTTGATGACTTCCGCACATTCTCACACAGATTTTAATGATTGCCATGGTTGTTACAACCTCCTTCGATACTGTGATCAAACAAAGTCTATCGACCGCGACCACCATCATACACTCCTTCCCCACCATCACTTCCGCCTAATTACCATAACCATCACCACACACTCCTTGCCTCATGATTATCATGACCATTGTTTTCCTTCCGCCGACTCTTCGTCCTTGACGTCATACAAAGTCTCTCAACCGCGACCACCACCATACATACACTCCTTCCCCGCCATCACTTCCGCCTAATTCCCATAACCATCACCAAACACTCCTTGCCTCATGAATATCATGACCATTGTTCTCCTTCCGCCTACTCTTCGTACGCGACCACCATCATACACTGCTTCCCCAACATCTCATCATTATCATGACCATTGTCTCCTTCCGCCTACTCTTCGTACGCGACCACCTCATACACTTCTTCCCCACCACCACTTCCGCCTAATTACCATAACCATCACCATAAACTCCTTGCCTCATGATTATCATGAGCATTGTTCTCCTTCCGCCGACTCTTCCTCCTTGCCGTCATACTCCTTACCCTCCTCCACTTCTTCTCCATTCTCTTCCTCCTCATCATCATCCTTGCCATTGTCATTGTGTAGATGGCGTTCCTCTCGAGGACTTTTCCTCCAGCCTTCTTGTGTATGCTACCCCACGTTCACCTCACCCGTTCTGGTAAAGTTTGATTCCCGTCCTCCAAAGCATATGTGTTGCATACTCGTGAAACACATGGCGCAGATTCCCAGAACCGACCAGATAATACAGAGCTGATACCAATTGCAAGCGGAAGACTTGAGATACATGGACCGACTCTGACCTGACTCGGACTGCGATCGAACACTCTTCATACATCAGGGGTGTGAAAGCCCTGGCCGTAGACATAGACGAAGGCCAGGGTCTGAGATCATCCACAGACGAATGGAGGGAGGAGAGAGACGAAGGGAGGAGGAGAGGGAAGATGACGTCAACTCAATGTTTCCAAAGATACTATCTTGAAATGTCAGAGGTGGCAAAAATCCGAAATGTCTCGAATACAATGTCTCACAATGTCTCAGATATCGATCCCACAATGTCAAGTACATCTCCAGAGGAAGATGAAATCAGATCCCCCAAGTAGTCCTCAACCTATAGTCCCAATGTCGATGTCTCCAATGTTATCAGAACTCGTAACCATCCTTCATACTCATAGTAGCCCCGTAGGAAAACCCAAGAGTAGACTTAGAAGGTAGGAGGAGAGAGAGAGAGAGAGAGCAAGGGGGAGGGGAAACAGAGGGAGAGAAGGCAGGACCTTCCTCCCCGGTACCTGATCCGGTAGCTATGGCGCGGCAGGGCCGCTGCGCTGTGTCCTCCGCGTCGCTGCGCTCGCCTTCTCCTCGCTGCTCGGACTAACGCTGCTGGCGCTGCGCTAATGCTGCTAACGCTGTAGTGTAGCGCTAATCCTGAAGACTAACGTCCTATCACTAACCTCACTAACCTCCTACTGAGGCTGGTACCCGGCCTTTTGTAGTGCTGGGCCGGCCTCCTACCTGCTGGTACCTCCCGGCCTGGACCGTTGATCTGATCAACGGTCCAGATTCAAACTGGACTTGGCGCCTAAACACGGCAGCCTCTGAAACTGCGCCGCCGGTAGGTCCTATGCTGGACCGGTACCGGCCTTGTGGCCGTTGGCCTGGGCCTCTATCCCTGGCCTGCCTGAACCGGCGTACCCCTGGCCTACCTGGGCCTCATCTGAACCGTCGTCCCCTTAGGCCAACCCTGCCTACCTGGAACCGGGCCCTAACTGGGGCCCGTGTGGCTCAGAATACCACACACTCCCCCCCTTGAAGACCGAGCTAACTGCGAGGGCGAAGCTGTCTGTCCGATGTCTGTACGGGGCGGGCAGGTTGGGCAGCTTCCTTAGCAAGTCGCCGTTTTTCATAATGCGCGAAGATGAGGGGTGTTGTCGCCTTCAGGTCAGCTCGTGAAATCCAGCGTGTGTCGTCAGGATCGCATTGCTTGAATGTAACTTTATACTGCATTGGCTTGTTGCCGTGCTTGTGATGAGCGAGGACGCGGTTGACCTCCTGATGACCATCCATTGAAGGAGGGTCATGCGACCGTCTGCCCGGGAAGTCTGCTGCGGAGGCTGGAGTGTAGACTGCCAGCTTTGAAGCGTGAAATATAGGGTGGACCGTCAAATGCGGGGGAATCTCAATGATGAAAGATGGACCCGCGGGATCGTCGCCAGCTGCTGAAGTGACCTTCCATGGTCCAAACCACTTAGGGAGGAGCTTGTGTGAGACGTGCTGCTCGAGCGCGAATTCCTCCGAGGTGACCCAAACCAGGTCGCCAGCGCAGATTGGACATGGGATGCGACGCCGGTTCGCTTGCTGCTGCATACGGACCTGAGCCTTTTCCATGTTTGCGCGGGCTTTGGCCAGCAGTTCCCTGTACTTTCGTGTAGAAGCGGGGGAGCAAGCGGCGTCGATATCGGCAGCCCGTGGAAGCAAAACGTCTGCGAAGATACGTCCTTTCCATCCACTGTGATGCAACTCGAATGGAGTCACGCCAATCGCCGGGTGCACCGACGTGTTGTAGGCGAATTCGATGTCGGGAAGGCGGTCAACCCAGTCCTTCTGATCCGGGCGGATGAGTGTGAGGAGCATCATCTGCACAGTCTGGTGCGCACATTCCGTTTGCCCATCCGTTTGAGGATGTCGTGCGGAACTCAGTTTCATGCTGGTGTCGGATTCCACTATGAGTGTCGTCCAAAAGGCCTACATGAAACGAGTGTCACAGTCGTTGACGATGTCTTCCGGAACGTCGTGGCTGCAAAACCAGCTGGTATGCAAAAGTCGTGCGAGCTCGGGAGCCGTCGCATGATACTTGCATGGAAGAAATCGAGCGTACTTGCTCAAACGGTCAACGACCGTGAGAATACCGTCGTGGCCAAGGCGATCGCGAGGAAAAGGGCCAGTCACATCCATAGCAATGGAGAGACCTGGTTCCCGAGGAATCGCCAATGGTTTCAGTTCGCCGTACGGGAGCTGATGGCGCCCTTTGTTCTGGTGGCAAACTGCGCATGACTGAATGTACCGGTTGACGTCGCTGATGATGTCCAGCCAGTGAAATCGCTGGCGGAGCCGTGCAAGTGTGCGTGCAACGCCAAGGTGTCCCGCCAGCCGCGAATCGTGGTATTCGCCAAGGAGGCGAGTGCGCAAGATGCGGTCTTGGGGAACACACAACAAGTCCTCGCCTCGTGTATGGAGAAGCAAGTAGCCGTCGACAATGCGATAGTTGCTTGTCGGCAGGTGATCCGATGACAAGTCCGCATAGAGTGTGGAGAATCCCGGATCTGACTTGTACCCGTTTACAAAGTGTTGTTGCAAGTTCTTGTCGAGGCCGAATGTGGAGTGCACCAAGGCGCGAAGATCAGGTCTTCGCGAGAGAGCATCCGCTGCCTTGTTCGAGGAGCCCAGAATGTGCTTGGAGGTGAAATCGAACTGGTCGATGAAGTACATCCATCGACCGATCGTGCTGCTCACCGTGTCTTGCGTCTTGTAATACGTCAACGGATTATTGTCCGTTGCCCACGTGAGTCGCCGACGCCAGAGGAGAAAGTGACGCCAATGCTCAAGCACGGTGACAAAAGCTAGCAGTTCCTTTTTCCTCACATCATCAAGAGTGTTGATGGGTGGCACCTTTTGGCTGAAATACTCAACCGGATGCCAGTCTGTGTCGTCATGCTGTTCCAAAACCGCGCCAATGCCATAGCCGGAAGCGTCCGTAGTCACTTTGGTAGGCAAGGTCGGGTCATAGATGCTTAAGACGGGAGCTTGAAGCAAAGTTGTCTTCAGCGTGTGGAACGCATGCCGGGCTTTGTCATTGAACTCGACGGGCACCAAGGGGGACTGAAGTCACGACAATGGTGCAGCGATCCATTGAAAACCTTTGACGAAGCGCATGTAGTAAGATGCCAAGCCCAAAAAGGAGCGGACGTCG